CTCTAATATAAGTAAACAAACTTTTTCTTTTATTTTTTACTAATGATTACTAGTAATTTAGTAGTTTACTTGATAACGAGTTTACTCTCATCTTATTAATTAAGAAATCAATTTTTTTTTAAATATTAATAGGAAAATAAATTTTCACCATAAATCCTTTAATTTCAATTTAAATAATTGGTATTTGATAAAACTAGAAAAGAATTATTTTTAAGGTGGGCATAAATCGATTTAGAAGCAATCGTAGTCAGTTTAAAAATTAATATTATGGCTTGTACAAAAAAAAATGAAAATATTAATATCTCCTATGTATATAAGTAGATGATATGAATAACATTCATGCTTAATTACACTAGCTTCCATTTGAGATTGGAGTATTAAAATTACATCTAACTTTAAAAAAAAGAAAAAAAAAAAAAAAAGGAATCTGATTTACATCTGCAATTAAATTAAAGACGGTGTAATTTTGTCCACCCAAAACTGTTTTGAATTTTCTCCTATCTCAATAGAGAAATTGTACCAATACAAGATAGAAGACCCACCGACACAACCCCATGTCCTCCTCATCTTCCTATGACTATTGTGTTTTGCATTCAAGTAATAATATATAACACATTGTTTTTGGATCCAGCTTGGTGGTTGACTCGTTTTGACCACTGGATCCGGTTCAATCAATTGAATTGATTCATCCGATCGGTCTAATCGATTGACTAAAAAAAGTAAAAAACTTTTTAAGGAGGTGAGCGGAGAGGACAATGACTGGGGGAGGAGAGGTAGATTTGTTCTGTCAGTGGAAGAAGGAGGCGAGCGGCGAAGGGCTGAGATCGAGGAGGTAGTTGTGGAGTCGCTGACAGTTGGGATCGAGGAAGGAATTGGCCGACGGTGACTTCACCTGCTCTATTTCGTTTATGCTTGTTTTTCTGGGTTTTACTTCTGCACAAACGAAGGGCTTGCTTTCTGGTTTTGTTTCTGCACAAAGTAGGAAGCCGTCGACAAAGATGGTTGAGATTGGGCAGGCAAAGGCCGACGGTGGTGACTGGTGAGTGGTGGTGGTGACTGGTGAGTGGTATTGGTGACTGTTCGTCTCTTCTCCTGCTCTCTTTTGTTTTTGATTTTTTTGACATTTTTGTGGGTTTGCTTTTGCACTGTAGTGAGATAGAAAACTTGATTGTTTGAGACTTTAGTTTTGTTTTTTAAATTTATTTTATCTGTTAATTTTTAATTTAAGTGTATGTTTTATTGTAATAA